GTCAGAAGAAATAGAAGCCAAGTTTACTTTAATGCTTTTTGTATTGACATGTTCATCTAATGCTTGCCTGGTGGGAGTAGCATTGAGGTTTTCAATATCTAATCTTTATAATAGGTCCTGTCAATTACAGGTAAATTTAGATTTCTTGGAGACAAGTATCAGCGGACTGATGACTATATTTGGGCAAGAGGTTTCCTTCTTTGCCTGTAAAAGGAAAAGGCTGGTCTTGAATTCTTTCTGACTTTAAATTTTTATTTTTCTTATTTAAAATGTAATATAAAAGGATGATTTTTATTGGTTTATAACTCTTAGCTCCTTATTTCAATTTGCAGGTTATTTTGGATAACTGTATATTTGTCACTGTAGGTTTACTCCTTTCAGATAAAAAACCAGAGCTCCCTGCCACCTTATTTTTAAGCAACTGTATTGAGATACAATTTGCATAGCATGCAATTTGCCCATTTAAAGGGTACAATTCAGGGGTTTTTAGTGTATTCACAGATATATGCAACTCCCACCACAGTTAATTTTAGAGCGTTTTAATCACCTCAAAAAGAAACCTGTGTACCTTCTTTTAACTATTACCTCCCTAGCCTCCAGGCCTCACCAGAAGCAACCATTAATCTATGCTCTGTATCTTCTGTCTCTGTGGTTCCCCATTCTAGACTTTCCTGTGAATGGAGTCATATAATATGTGGTCTTTGTGGCTGATTTCTTTGACTCAGCATAATGTTTTAAAGGCTGATCCATGTTGTAGCATGTGTCAGTACTCCCCACTCCACCTTGTTTAAATTTTTACTGTATGTGTTCTCAATTTATGGTTTCTTTTGCTGAAAAGTTCATTTCAAAATTTTTTTTTTGTTTTGATTTTGTTTCTGGTCCTGAAAGGCAAGTTTTGTTTGTTTTAAACCACTAAGGCTGTTCTACATTGAATTTTTCTTTATTGTATGTCTAGAAAAGTTTCTGAAGCCTGCTCTAGGGGCAGACAGATCCCTCATGAAAGCTAATGAAAGGTTCATAACAGATTATAAATGTTTTACTGGTTTGCTAAGAAGACACTAGGTATTTCTGGAAGCTCAGACTGGACATTTGTTGTCGTCCCCCTGATCCCCACCCGCCCCCTGTAATCATTACGATAGGGGGTTCTTTACTGGGTTTGCTCTGGGAAAGTTGGAGAGAGACTGACTTCCTGTCTTGTGGTTGAATGGCTGCCCTCACTATTTCACAGAGCCTGCTCAGACATACTTTCAACTTGCCATTTTCCTTTTTTTCCCTACAGGGATTAAAGCCTGTGGTTCCCACAGAAGCACCACCTATCATATTTGCCACACCAACTAAAGTGACCTCTGATTCCACAGTGTATGATTATGCTGGGAAAAACAGAGTTCCAGAGCTGCAGAAGTTTTTCCAGGTGAGGGAAGATACTCTAGATAACAGAGAAGCCTGTGAAATAAATAGGCTTAAAAAATCCGTTATGAAACTAATTCTTTTTTTTTTGAGACGGAGTTTCACTCATGTTAGCCTGGAGTGCAATGGCGCGATCTCGGCTCACCACAACCTCCGCCTCCTGGGTTCAGGCAATTCTCCTGCCTCAGCCTCCTGAGTAGCTGGGATTACAGGCACGCACCACCATGCCCAGCTAATTTTTTGTATTTTTAGTAGAGACGGGGTTTCACCATGTTGACCAGGATGGTCTCGATCTCTTGACCTCGT